AAAAAATTATTTTTTTAAATTATTGTGAAATACCATACAGAGGGGTTACAATTACATGGGCAAGATAGTGAGTACATTTCTTATCAAGCATTGTTATCTCCTCCTTTGTTTCCCCTTCCCATCCCTTCCCAGCCTCCCCCCGCCCCCCTCACTGCCCCCCACCCCGCCAAAATTGTAAAATTCGTTTTTTGACATAACATCTTGTACATCTCATTGTTGTAATGTGTCCACCTGTAACCTTATTTAAACGATTTGTTTTTTCCCTTCCCCTCCACAAATTATATCAACATCAAATACAGTGAAAGCAGGGTTTATACCCTGGGAGAGGTACATACAAAGCAACAAAGAAATTATCTTATAAATATGTTGGAAACAACTGCAAGAAAGAAAACAAAAACATCTAAATCCTTATCTTGGGGTTCATTTTGCCTAACATCAACCTGTCTGACAGCTTCTGTTTGTCTCAGACATATACTAGTTATTGCAAATAAGGGAAACCATGGGATCTATGTTTCTTTGGGCCTGGCTTACTTCACTTAATATAATTTTTTCCAAGTCTTTCTAATTCCTAACAAATAGGGCAATGTCATTCTTTCTGATGGAGGCATAGAATTCCATTGTGTAAATATACCACATTTTCTTGATCCATTCATCTACTGAGGGGCATCTGGGTTGGTTCCATATCTTAGCTATGGTAAATAATGCTGCAATGAACATAGTTGTGCTGGTAGCTTTAGTATGGTCTTGTTTATGATCATTCAGGTAAATGCCCAAAAGTGGGGTTGCTGGGTCACAGGGGAGCTCTATGTGGAGTCTTTTGAGGAACCTCCATACTGCTTTCCAAAGTGGTTGAACAAGTTTATACTCCCACAAACAATGCAGTAGGGTTCTCTTCTGGCCACACCCCCTCCAGCATCTGCCATTATTAGAGTTCTTGATTATAGCCATTCTAACTGGGGTGAAGTGGTATCTCAATGTTGTTTTGATTTGCATTTCTTTTATGGCTGGGGAGTGAGCAGTTCTTCATGTGTCTATTGGCCATTCTTCTTTCCTCTTCAGAGAAGTTTCTCTGTAAGTCTTTAGCCCACTTATTTATTGGGAAGTTGTTTCTTTGAGGATTTGTTGTTGGGGGATTTAATTTTTGGAGTTCCAGGTATATTTTAGATATGGGACCCTTGTCCGTTGTATGGCTAGTGAAGATCTTCTCCTAATATGTAGGCTTTCTATTGATTTTGCTAGCTATGTCCTTTGCCATGCAGAAGCTCTGCAATTTCATGCAATCCCATTTGTCCAACCTTTCTTTGATTTGTTGTTTCTGGGTCTCTATTAAAAAAATTTCGGCCTGTAGACACAGCATTTCTTTAGGCCAGCAATAGTGTTGATTACATGTCTTGATTTTATGTGATTTCAATGTGTCTTTCCTGCACTAGATCTACTTTTTGTAAATATCACCGGAAAATGAAGCAAGGAGTCTGTTGGACGTCATGCCTTTGGTCTGTCCAGGAAGACTACCATCTTGCCCTTCTTATAAATCCATAATTTTCCCCTTTCTTTTAAAATTATTATCTTTAAGTAGTTGTAAAAAGGAGTTGTCAATAACTAGTATATGTCTGAGGCAAGCAGAAAAGGTCAGATAAGATGATGCTTCTAATGTATTTATAAGGTACCACATGATTTTTTTTTGTTGCTTTGTATGTCCCTCCCCCATGGTATAACCCCTGTTTTCACTGTATTTGATATTGGTATAATTTGAGGAGGAGAAGGGAAAAAACAAATTATTTAAATAGGGATACAGGTTGACACATTGCAACAATGAGATGTTCGAAAACGAACTTTACAATTTAGGCAGGGGTGGGGGGGGGAGTGTAGTTGTGGAGATGGGAGGGAAGGGATGGTAGGGGAAAAACAAAGGAGGAGACAACAATGCTTGATAAGAAATGTACTCATTACCTTGCTCATGTAACCCCTCCTCTGTACAGTATTTTCACAATAAAAAACTTAATTTGTTTTAAAAAAAGGAGTTGCCATTTAACAGTTCTTAGAAACGACTCTTAGGTTGCTTCCCATGGTGGTTTAAAATTTTAAACATTTAGCCATTTTCTTTCTAGCCTGGGACTTTTTGTCTTTTGCCTTTCCCTGTCATAACTTGGAAAAAAGTCAAGATGGACACCAAGATTTGAAGAGAAAGCCGAATGTATGCGGCTATTGCTGTGGTCTGCACCAAGTTCAGAGGTAAAAGTTCTATTTAGAGTGCCTGCATCATCATATGCAATGACAGGGGGGGCTGCAGATCCAGAGCTCCTGCGTGCACCATACTGGGGGCCTCAGCCAATGGGGATGGCTCTGAACCCCAATGCAGTTGTATTTCTCTGAAAGCAAAAAGTGGGGGCCACAGAAGAGGCTGATATAGAGGAGAGTGTTAAGGGGCTGTGAAGCACTCTGTGCTAATCGACCTAGAGGCAGAAGGCAGTGCTCCGAAGAGGACCAGAAATCCTCTATAGCAGGATCTCCAGGCCTGCACACACTCCAGGGTGGAGAACCAAGGGGAGGGTGCTAAGGCACGGACTGGGATGAGCCAGCCTGAAACAGACTTGTAAGATGAAGCATGAAGCATAGACCAAGCATGTCTTATTCATTCCTGGCAGACAATAAGGTTGATGGATTGTTTTACACCATACCCAGGCTGACGCCTCCTCCTACACCAGAGGAGATGGGCAGGATTTAAGGCAAGGTGGGGTATGTGGCTTCAGATGCATGGGCCAACTACTGTGGACTCGAAGGTTGGTTGTACCCACTCATTCCTTTGTACACACTCTCCAGGGAGGCTCCAACTTGTACTTTTCTGGGGGTTTATGGAAAAGCCAGAAATGGTTGTTTCCAGGGTGGTGGTTTTCTTGAATAATAATAATAATAAAAAAGATGTAGGCTGATGAAATGGCTCAGAGTAGAGAGGATGAAAAAGAGAGAATGTAGGTAAGCATTGCCTTCCTATAAACCTTACCCTAGGGTCTGATCAAATGTCCTACAGACAAATTTCCAGCTGCCAGTCTTAGGAAGAGAAGGGGTAGGCTCACATAGGAGCTAAGGTGTGGAATAGGAATGGCTGTTTAGAAGATGAAGAGGAGGAAGAGAAGGCTTTTCCAGGTAGCACAGGAACAGCCTGTACGAACTACGGGGTTCTCAAGAAACCATAACTTTTAATCATTGCACCAATATGGGTCAGGCTAGATTTATTTCAAGTCCTGTGTTATTCTATGGCTGTCTGTTTCTACATGTGTAATGATAGGAAGAAAAGCATTAACTAATCACAAGGGACAGATTTACAGCCCTGCTTTTCTCTTTTGTTTAGGATCTTTATTTTTAAATCAGAAAGAGCAAGTGTGTGAGGATAGGGCCGTGCTTTGAAGCCTGACAGCAGTCTGTTGCGCTTCACTCATTTATAAAAAGCCCAAGACATTTGGCTGGTGATCATGGTGTACCAGTGCTTGAAGGACACGGTGACTTACCTGCTGCTGCCTCTTTGTTTGGAAATAACTTGTTGTCAACTGCCATGCTGATGTCATAGAACACCTCATCCTCATTTCGGTCAGCGTCAAACTGGGGGAAATCAGGACAGACAAGTGTGGAACATGAGAAGACATAAATTAGCTAATTCTAAAATGTAACCATCTGTAATAAGTTAAAGCACTAGAGTCACAAACGAGGCATTTGAGGGTCTTTAAGCCTAGATTACATATTATGTAGGGAAGAATAAGGAATTCACTTATGATTAAGAAAAATGTGGAACACTTTCTCCTTTTTTTTTTGACAGTCCTGGGGCTTGAACTCAGGGCTTGGGCTCTGTCTCTAAGCTTCTTTTTGCTAAAGACTAGTACTCTACCACTTGAACTATGGCACTACTTCCAGCCTTTTCTGATTATGTGGTACTGAGGAATCAAACCCCGGGCTTCGTGCATGCTAGGCAAGCACTTTACCACTGAGCCACATTCCCAGCCCTGAACATTTTCTCATAAAGCAGGTTCTGAAGAGATTATGGAAATTCACCCATTATTTTGGCTCAGTTTTTCTCATAAGAAATGAAAATATAGTTATAAACAACATAGGGAGAATTTTTCTAATTTATTGTTAAAAAAGAAAGATTAAAACAATTTCCAAACCATATTTAAGATCCTGTATTAGATACTACAGATATTGTATTAACGAAGTAGTTGCACAGATATAATGAACATTATAGAACGAAATATATAAAGTTTAAAATTTATAAAATTTTGCGAAATTATAAAATGATATTATTAAATGAATAAATTGTGTGTTTACCAAATGGCTCAATAATTGAACATACATTCATGTCTGTTTTCAGTTTTAAAAAATATCTTTCCTGAGTCATAGTCGATAAAGCAAACTGCAAGTATTTACAGAAAGTTTCATTGTACATATATACACCTGGAAAACCATCTCTCGCTATAGGTTGGCTATCAAGCATTGGCAACATGACCTTCTTGGGTGCTGGATATTTTGTATTCCTATCAACAGCTTTTGGACTGGTGAAGCTGGGGTTGAGGGGATTGCAGCAGCCTTCACACAGTCTGCTCTGCTTGGATTCTTGCAGACATTGTTAAAGCCACTTCACTCCCACACCACGATCAGAGGAGGCAATCCGATTTTTTTATTTTCTATCATTTCTGATGGGCATGAGACTCTTGTTCCTACTCTTTTAACTCATGTTATGTCCTGGGGACCCTGGGGAACATTCTAATTTAATATCACAACAGCAGCTATTGAATTGGCAAAGTTTTTTTTAAAACACAAACTGATGACATTCAGTATTAGAGAGGTTGCATGCTTATTAGAGAGGTTGCATGCTTAGTAGAGGGAGAACTGGCTTTTAAATCATCAAATATTTTGTTGATTGTTTTGCACAAACCATATTATTCATCAGTGGTTATCCACTAGGAGTATTTCCTAGGAAACGTGTCTGATGAGAGACAGTTTTGGTAGCCACAGAGCAGAGGGTGGGAAAGTCACTAAATAACCTACAGCACACTGGGCAGTCTACTCACAACAAAGGATTATCTCACCTAAAAAGTCAACAGTGTCAAGGCTGGGAAGCCCCAGTTACCCCATGCATTCTTAGCTCTAGGATTTCCAAACAGTATTTTGAAGCTAAAGTAGCATTTTTTTCTTTTTAGAAAAAGATTTTAAGGTATAAGAATATCAGCCAGTAATTTTAAACTACAAAGGTTAAGCCAGTGGCAAGTATCTGTAATCTTGATTACCTGGTAGTGATGATGGAAGGATCAGGAGTTTGAGGCAAATTCCTGAAACTAACTAACCAGCTAGCTAACTAATTAACTAAAATCCTAGCAGAAGAGATACTGCAGAATAGGTAAAAAGAGATAAGAGTTCCTACAAATAAAAATTTATTGCCTGGGAATGTGGCTTAATGGTAGAATGCTTCTCTAGCATGCATGAAACCCTGGGTTCAATTCCTCAGTACCACATAGCAGAAAAAGCTGAAAGTGGCGCTGTGGCTCAAGTGGTAGAATGCTAGCCTTGAGCAAAAGAAGCTCAAGGACAGTGCTCAGGTCCTGAGTTCAAGCCCCAGGACTGGCCAAAAAAATATTATTTATGCTGGGTGTAGTAGCCTGGCCTGTAATCCTATTTGGGAGGTAGAAATTGAGACAAGGCCATCCTTAGTTTGAGACCCTCTTTCAAGTATGTGATGACACATGGCTATGTTTGCAGCCTCTCAGGAACTATTATAATAGTAGAACTTCTATCTAGGGAGGCCCAGCCTAAAGTAGAGATCCTATTAGAAAAAAATAAGAGCAAAAGGGGCATGGCTCAAGTGGTAGACTGCTTGCGTAGAAAGAACAATGTCCTGACATCAAACCCAGTACTGCCAAAACATTTATTTACATAATTAGGGTCAGAAAAAGTTTCAGGGAGATAGAATTATGTGGCAATAGATCAGAAGATGTCTATAGTTGCTCCTAGCTCTGAAATTCTGAAGAAAAGATGGGTATTTTGTCTTTTAGGTGAGTGTAATTTGATGTCTGTCCTAAGAAAACCTTTTTTCTTATATTGAGGGGGAAACTCACGAAGGACACGGTCAACACAATCTGTTTTATGTCATTTAATGTAAGAGAGCTGCTGAGGTCAACTTGAAATTTCAAAATGAAATGTTTATTGATTTCCTTAGTTCACTCACAGCAATTTTAATCTGAATAACAAATGATGTAACAGCTTTCAAAAGCATACATAATATATCAAGATTAGGAGAGGAAATTATAGCCAAGGGAGAAAGTAGAATTTTGGGACATCTGAGGATGAAGAGACAATGAAGATTTGTACTTTTTTAAGTGGCAGAAACTAGCATTGGTTTTCTTTTCTTTCGACTGTGGTTTTCAGAAGTCAGAAACTTCTCAAGTCTTCACCACAGAAACAAGGCCCACCAATTACCCAAATGGACTGCAAACTGGATCTCATCTTCAAGATTTCACCTTTGATTAAGCTTAGGTTTGTTGCTCACATTTTCTCATTTTCATCATTTGAGGAAAAGGAAAGAAACGAGCTGTTATTAGTATCATTCCAAGCTTATATTTCCTATAAGTACTCTCTTAGCATCAAATAATCTTCTTGAAATTTTTACTTCCACCTTGTTTTATCAGGAGATTTCAATTAAGCATACTTGCTTAATTTCCCTCCTTTCCTACTGAAGACCCCCTCAATATACAAATAACTGGCCTTCAAATGTTTTCTTTTATGTATTTAGTGGCATCTTTTTTTTTTAAAGACAATCTGGCTAGTATTCTCTTTACAGTGATTTTTTTTTCTCCAATGCAAATGTGAGATAACAGTAAAGTAGTAATATTTTAAAGACTCACAGTACCTGGAATAAATTCAATGATGGAATAATGATTGCTTATACTACTTTATAGGACTTTATGTTTCTATAGCCTCATAAAAAACTTGAAAGAGAGCCATGTGAAGCTCAAATGTATAATATTAGCTTTTGGGGCAGAGATCAAGAGATTATGGTTGAGGTCCATCTGGCCTTAAAACTTCATTGAGGCTGCATTTCAATCAGTGGCTGAGCAATTCAGTGAGCGCCTGTCATCCCAAGCTATACAGGAAGCACAAAAAATGGCTGGCTCAATGATGCACCAGGTATGATCCCAGTGGTAAAGGAAAGGGGGGAATGAATAAGAGGACCACAGTGCAGGGTAGCATAGGCATAAAGTAAAACCCTGTCTTGAGAATAACCAGCCAACAAAAGGGCTAGCATAGTGGCCCAAGTGGTAAAGTATCTACTCCTTGAGTGTGAAGACTTGAGTTGAAACTGTAGTACTGCCAAGAGTGGGGGGAGGAAGAAAATTTGAAAAAAGAACATTTAAGTGGGCTAGTGGTGGGCTAGAGATAGGGATAATTCTGTGAGAGGAACCAAAGCAACCTGAGAATTCCTGTGGTGCTGTCCTGCGGAACCATGCAATGGGGAACTTATCATTTCTTAGCAGAATGAGATAAAGGAAGACATAAAAGAATACACATTTAAAATTAGAAGCAACTATATGCAAGAGATGAACACAGACACATCAAAGCTGTGGATATCAGGCAAAAAACTTATTTTCTTTCCAGCCTCTGCCTCTTTATGCTCACTCTTTCATCTGGTATTCAGACTATAGACAACATTTAGAAAACATTGTTGGGGGCTGGGAATGTGGCTTAGTGGAAGAGTGCTTGCTTAGCATGCATGCAACCCTAGGTTTGATTCCTCAGTACCACATAAACAGAAAAATCAGAAGTGGTACTGTGGCTCAAGAGGTAGCATGCTGGCCTTGAGCAGATAAAGCTCAGGGAAAATGCCCAGGCCCTGAGTTCAAGCCCCAGGACTAGCAAAAACAAGAACAAAAACAAACAAACAAAATACATTGTTGGGAAAAGTCAACAACAATAAATATATCCAGAGAAAACTTAAAGTTTTCTGAAATGTTTTAAGAAAATTGCATTCCCCAAGTTTGAAGCTTTAAAAGAATGTAATAATGACTTTAATTTATTTTGGTGCAGAGAGAAATGAGGGCTAACTCATGATAATTTTCATTACTCATACAACATTAGCTCAGCACTCAACATCAGCACTCAACAGGGCTCTAAAGAAAGCACCCGGTAGCATTAACCTGCATCCATCCCCTGTTAATACAAGTTTATACATGACATTCTAATCACTCAGTCTCTACAATTACACTATAAGAAAGGTTATTTGTTATCTTAATTTTAGAGGTGCAAAACAGCCTCTTGGCTAGGATGTAGTTCAGTGCTAGAACATTCACTTAGTGTGTGCAAGGCTCTGGATCAATCCCCAGAAAAAATGTGCATGCGTGTGTACACACACACACACACACACACACACACACACACACACACCCCACACTAAACCAGAACTAAAAGTAAGCTTCCAAGACATGAAATAATTTGTTCACAGTCATGTAAGTGGGTGGATATGAGTCCATATTGGTCTACAAGGCTAGCAATGTGAGTTACCAGCCCCACTGGGGCAACCTTAGATTTAGCTAGGTATTCAAAAAAATGAAGCAGGG